TTTTGCTGACTTATATAAAAAATGTCAACAGGTTTCATACTGTGGAGTAGTATTTAAATCAATAAAATTTGTTCGATTTTCTGTCTTGTTTTGTGAGAATTTATAATTCAATGGTCGTAAGCAAAATGGGCAGACCAAGAAGCGAGATATAAAATGGAGACGTCAAAATCAAGCACGTACAGAAATTTCACTTGGAATGATTATAGCAGACAACGGAAAAGAATTGAGATAGAAATAAGAAGGCGCATTGGAATACTGAAATATTCCTGTCAAACGATAAACAAAGTATTAAGGAACTTGGGAAATGGTTTATTAGAAAGGAAGGAAAGAGTGCTAAACGGCTATGCAATATTAATCTCAGAACAAGGCAGAGAATACTGGACGATTTCCTCACAGATGATAAGGGAAACTTGCAGCAACAAAGATGTGGTTCTACAGACTGAAGTTGACAAAACATGTAAACCCCGAGAAAGTTTTACGGGAAATGTGAACTAGTAATACACTTAATGCTTCAAATAAGAAAAAAGACAGTTGAATATTTTGGATCACGTTATAAGGAAGGAGGGCTTAGAAAATTTAACCCTCACGGGACATAAAGACACTTAGAGAGATATAAGAAACAGCGAGTAACCTACCAAACAAGCTTGTGTGGATTGATGGTAGAACAAGGATTTCTAGAGATAGTGAGGAGACTTAGAGTTACAAAGGCGAGGAAGTGAGAGCCATGATCATCACATAAAAGAAGAATAATGTAAAACATAGTAGCAGATAGACACACAGCAAATTAATAGAAATCAAATTAGGATATTTAGACAATTTTAAAGTTAGCTCCAAGTTGGAAATATTTGATGAACAGGTAAGAAAAAATAAATAAAAGTAAATGAAATACAGAGAGGTAATGCTGAGATCGGGTAGATGGAACTCTTTAGTTTAGGAGAGCTGTTCATCTAATTAAAGGAACACTCTGATTTCAAATTTCCTTTTCCTTGCAGTCACAATCAATCATGGGAAAATCTTGGAGAGGAAAACCTCAGGATAAAAATTTAAAACTGGAGTCCCAAATGCAGTTTGGTGTTGAATCCAAATTCGTTCTGGCAACTCCTGTAACGACATCGAAGTCCATCCTGAGTATGACGATAAACTACATTCAGCAGCAAGGCTTCTGATCGGAAGGTTCTGAGAAGCGTGCAACCATCTCTTAATTATTGTTGCTCCCAGATCTACCCTGACCCTGGGTGGTAGCACCTGTCAGGGTCCAAGTTATGGGCAAATACTGAACCCCCAAATTGGGGTCAAAACATTATGAAAGTATAAAAATACATTTTAGTAGTAAAAATTTACAGTAAAAGATTTTAATAATGAAAGAAAATTAACAAAGCTCTTAGTACGAGGATGTTGGTATGTTTGTGGAAATGTTTAGTCACTATTATGTTGCGGTAATAAACACTTTGGATGGTACATAGGGTTTCCTGGAAAGTTTATCCCATAAACAATATTGACGGACTCATCGTGAGTCCGAGTAAATAATTAGTAACACAAAACAATAAATGTAAAACAAACGACAATGCATGTATGTAGAAAAGGAATTACACGTGACGAAAGGAAAAAAAACAGGAAACTATAATAGCCATAATAAGAATATGTTTGTTTGTGTATGTGTGCGTGTGTGTGTGTCAAGAGAAAATAACCATAAAAAATGAACGTGTGCCAGTGAGGAACACTTTACACACGTACGGCTACATCTTATAACCAGAAATGAAAAGCTTTTAAAGAGGAAAGAGAGCAAGGAAAGAAATGCACGTGTTTTCGTAGGCTTAAGGAGCGCCTCCTAGCGATTTTTTTTAGCAAAGTCAAGTGTAATAACCCACACTCTGAAGAAAATTAAATGTTGTCATTAAATGTCCAATAATGAGTCGATATACCGTTAAAAAACAACCCAAACCAAACCAAATTGGCGAATTTCAATAGGAAAAGAAATACTTCAATCGGGTAAACGGAACTCTTTAGTCTGTGAGGAAAGTTCATCTAATAGAAGGGTAACTCAGATTCAAACCGCTTCCGCTTTGCAGTCACAATCAATCATGGGAAAGCTCTCAGAAGTAAAACCTGGGGATAGAATCTGGAGAACAGTGATGGCATGGGGATGGAATAAATGTGTTACATGAGCAACTGTCGAGTTCTAATAATAATAAAAAAAGAAATGAAAAATTTGACCAGGTCTCTAACCAAGTGCGATCACTTCAGCATCGCCTCGACTGCGCACGATTAGCAAATCAAAAGCAACACTATCGCCATCAGCTGAATTAAAAAAAAAAAAAGGGAGAGTCCCAAGGCACTGATCCATGGTATCTCGAGACCGACGGGTGCCACACAGAGAATGCTATTGAAAGAATGATGCCAAAAGAAATGGATACAAAGTCATTTCAAGGATGCGGGAAATGTTTCATACGGGGAAAAAAACAAAAGGAAGAAAAAATAAGTAAATTGTTAAAAATTTATCTGCCTATATCTGAGATGAGGTATTATGATTACTTGCATTATTTACATTATTCGGACTGTTATCCTCATCTCTATTGCCATATTCACAACATTTCGGCCGTTGTACGCTCCGGCCTTCCTTAGGTGATTGGAATTATTTTTCAGTATCTGTCTATATCTCTGAGATGAGGTATTATGATGACTTGCATTATTTAAATTATTCGGACTGTTCTCCTCATCTCTATTGCCATATCCACAACTTTTCGGTCGTTATACGCTCTGGCCTTCTTCAGGTGATAATAATAAAAATTGCAATATGAGCACTGGTAAAAAACTGATGTTGAGACATTAGGTTTATAAGTTGCTAAAATTCAGACACATGGCCCAGTGGGTAGGGACGGTGGTTCAATCTAGTGACTAGACCCAAAGAGTTGTGAATTCAGTACCAGGCCACAGCAGTGGTGAATCAAATCTTAGAGAGTTGAGTTAAAGAGAAATAACTGAGACATTCGGAAGAGGCATGACACGTGGAACTAGAACAATCTAAAAGAAGAAGTTCTAATTACATGAATATGGCCGGAGCGTACAACAGCCGAAACGTTGTGAATTTGGCAATGAAGATGTGAATAACAGTTCGAATATTGTTAAAAATG